AATGTGCAATCTCATTTGCAATGATAAATACCCGGTCGTTTAAAGATGATTTTCAAAAGTTTGTAATACATTTTTCTGCAAATTGATGGACGATCCACATTTTTTTGCACTTAAACTGCTTTAGTGTGTATAATTGTGTGTACTTTAATTGGAAATTTAAAAGAAGGCGATCAGGCATTTAGTACATGAGCACCCTTTACCTAGTAATTGCAGTATCTGCAGCTTCTACCTTGATAAGTTGATTGTTATTGTTATCAGCGTTATAAAATAAACTGCACCGAACACAATAATATCACACTCAATAATTGATAAATCAAAATCACTGTCAGTTCAATAACACAATGTGTATTTGAAAAGTTTATCAGATCTACAGATGCACCCGCACTAAGAGAAAAATCTCGAATTCAAAGTGCATATGTGCCTCCTGAGCCACCGTTACGGCTCGCCGTGACCGAGAGAAATCGGTTCACCATCGCCAGACACTATCAAAAGGCCTTCAGCATATGGACAAACCCTAAGTTCGACAATGACAACTGGAACATGATCAATGACTGGTACTTGAACTACTTTAACAACTCACCAAACTATACTTACAAACTAATCACAGACGCAGAGTACGATGAAGCCCTATCACATATCAAAAACACAGCTCCGGGAAAGGACAGCTGCCACTCAACCTTTCTGGATGAATGAACAACATAATCATAAATAACAAAATTCCGAAAACATGGAAAAGTGGTGTAGTAATTCCTATACCTAAAAATGGACGAGACAATACACAAATGGAAAACTACAGACCTATTACATGGTGCTCTCCCGGTGCCGAGCAAAGTTTTGGAACACATACTAAAGCAGAGACTTGAAGAACTGATCGGAAAACATATACCAAGCTACCAATTTGGCTTTAAACAATATCACTTGACTATTGATCCGTTATTTATTTTGACCAACAACATACAAACAACTCACCTAATTGACGGAAAGTCGGCATATCTACTCATGGACATCAACAAGGCTTTTGATAGTGTCTGGCATAGGGGCT